GTCTTCTCTTCTGCAGACTCAATCAGCCTATTTCCCTCAGCCTCTCCTCACAAGTCATGTGCCCGAGCCCCTCAACCATTTTTGTTGTTCTCCACTGGACTCTCTCCAACGTGTCCACATCCTTTCTGTACATCCCACAACTGGACACAGGACTCCAGATGTGGCCTCCCCAGTGCTGAATAGAGGGGAAGAATCACTGCCCTCAATCTGCCAGCAACGCTGCTACCAATGCTGCCCAGGATGCCATTCACCTTCTTGGCAACAAGGGCACACTGCTGGCTCCTGTTCAGCTCCTTGTCCCCCGTCACCCCCAGGTCCTTTTCTGCAGATACAGAGGGGTTTGGGATGTCATTTGAGGAGGAACTGGAAAGCGACAGCTGACTAGGAACTGAGTGAAATGTAACAGTCCCGAGGGCAAGATCACGCCCCAGGGGACCGGCAGCAAGAGTTCCTGATGACTTGGAGGAAAGAAAGACCCAGGAGCCTGAGTCCATCCCCAAGGTCAACACATCACCATGCAAGCAGTCATGGATGGGACAAATGCAACTTGAGGCCACATGTTCCCAGCTGAGACGGGGCAGGACAGTACATATACCATCGTACCCGGCAGCGAGAAGATTCCCGTGCCCTTCTGCTCACCCGCGCTGAAGAAAGATGAGCTCATGCTGAACCGGATGGATAGGCACTGCCCATGAATAAATGCATGCTGGAGAGAAGGAGCCGGTATTGAACTGTTGGAGCAGGGTGGGGAGAGGGGGCTGGAGCAGCCTCCCAGTAGAAGAGCAAAATCCTTTATAAGGGGTGTGGCAGCTGAAAAGTATGTCTGTGTGATAAAAGTGCTTGCTGAAGGCTCTATGAAGATTAGACCAAGTGTTTTTCTGTATTTGTTTAGATATTAAGCTATAAGTTGTTGCTAAAAGCCTAATTATAGTTTAAGATGTCGTGAGGCCTTGTATAAAGTAAAGCCTAGTAAATTTAACAAAGCCTAGAAGTAGTAAGGCCCTGTGGCGCAGTTAAAATTACCTTATCAAAGGAATCCAAGGCTTGTATTGCTATTGGTCAGTCTATGGACAGTTGAAGAAAAAAGAATCTATGTGGTCGTACATTATCAGTCTTTCAGAACCTATAAAATTAGCTGAAATATCTGGAAACCATTCAGAAGGAAGATGCAGCTCTGTGAAAAGGATTAGTTAGCTATTGCCTGGATCAGTGGGCCCGTGGACCTCGAGAAACCCAAGAACTGCATTCCAGGGTCCTTCCCGGCACCCGTCAGACAGCGTTGCTCAGGGACGCCTGACCTCACTGAACTTTGTGGAAAGAGAAGCTTGCTGTGTATCAGGCATCAGAGGGACTGCCAATAAGTTGCTGATGCAAATTGCTTTTGTCTGTCATCGTTTGTCTTGTTATTACGTGTAGTTGTGTTTTTTTTAAGTCAATAAATCTTTCTTACCCTTCTACCCCCGACCACACTCAATCTAAACCCTCCGCAGGTGGCTGGGGCAAAGGGGCTACATGGCGTGGCAGAGGCCTGTCCCTTGGAAAGACGAATGGTCTTGGCTGAGAGCTACATCCTACCTACCTCATCTGCTAGGCCATGGGTGAACGTGTCCCCTCAAAACCCAGACATGCCCCCATGGTTAGGGTACATCCGAGCCTCAAGATCGAGCCCCAAGAGAAGCAAAGGGAAGGATTCATGAACGTGAGCCGGGTGGAATAGGGTTGCAATTAGTCTGCTGAGGCAGGTGGGATAGAGACAGTGGCCATGAGCACGGTACCAAGCTCCAGGTAAGGGGAGGGGTTTGGGAGGGTACCCAAAATCCTACTGTGTGTGCTGGGGAAAAACCAGGAGGAAGCAAAAGAGCAGAGGCAGGGTAACTTAGCACAGGTGACTCACCAATGAGGGGCACGTTCTCAGAGGGCGGCATGCTCTCCGCCACCAGCAGCTGGAAGACAGTGAGGGCCAGCAGGACGGTCACACCCAGGGACACCTTCTCCCCAGAGTCGGCCGGGAGGTAGAAGCCCAGCGGGGCCAGGAAGGAGATCATGATGCAAGGCAGCAGCAGGTTGAAGATGTAGAAGGAGGCGCGGCGCTGGAGGATGAGCGTGTAGGTGACATCGGGGTAGGGCTCCGAGCAGCAGCCATAGGTGACCACATTGCGCCGGGCCGGCATGCCCAGCACCTGCCACTCCACGTTCTCCACGAAGTCAGTGAGGTCTCCCGTATCCAGCCCATTGCGCAGGTCGATCTGGTTCCCGTTGTAGGTCCAGGAGCCAAAAGTGAGGCGGCACTGCTGCCCGTCGAAGGGGAAGTAGGACACATCCACCTTGCATGAACTCTTGGTGATGGCTGGCGAGTCCCACATCACCCGCCCGTCGTGGCGGATCACCACGTTGGTCTCCATGGAGTCTGTGAACTGGTCGTCGGCACTGGACGAGGAAGGAAGAGGCCACGGGGATGAGTGGGAGCTGCTCTGGCCTCTCTCCCCAGGTCCAAGCCCAGCTTGTGGGCCCACAGCTGCAGGTAACCACAGCCAGGTGCCCCACAGCAGACCCCACCAGGTCCCGTCTTCACCCCAGTTAACCAGGGCCCTGCCCTGCCCAGTCACAGCTGAAACCCAGTCCCCATTAACAGTCTTTCACTAGGGCTCCCAAGTCATGGCCCTTGCCCTCAGGCCTGAAGTCTCTTGCTCAAAGCCACTAAACAAGCTCTGAGCAAGTTTCCTAGGGGCTAACTGGGGTCACCTTTCTCCCCATGAGCCACTCCCGTGCCTCGCAGCAACACGCAAACACACACAATGCCAAACTACATGAGCAATCTAAGTCTTGGTGCATCTCCCTCATCCTGCAGAGCTCCTTTACGCCCCAGGATCGGGGCCAGCGTGAATGTCCAGCTCAGGAGCCAGTTTCTGCAGCCCTGTCAAAATCATGGAGGAGTCAAGCTGGAAGCGACCTGCCGAGGTCACATCTAGTCCAAGCCCTGCCTGAGGCAGGATCAGCTCTGTCCCAACCAATCCAGATAAACCCATCATCTATCCAGCCCCACTTCTTTGCAACTATTATGAGCCCGTGGAAGCCAACTCCTGCCGACAGGATCAGGGCCAAACACCAGGCCCTCTCCATTCCCAGAGCCCTGCCGGCAGGAGCCGCGTGCAGAAGCAGGGCTGGGAGGGAATGCTGCCTCCCAGCCCCCCATAAACCCACTCATTAAAGGACGATAAACCCACTTATTGTAGAGGACGATGTCGGGGCGCCACACGTAGCTGCTGGGGATGTGGATGATATCGATCCCATCGTAATCGTCCTTGCTCCAGGTCAGGTAAGCGTCCACCCACACCTGCCGGATCCACAGGTAAGACGTCAGGACCTGGTTCCTCTCATCCTGTAGCCACGGGGGGAGAGAGCCATGAGGAGGGAGCAGGCAGATGCATGGACTGCTGTGCAATATTGGGGTAGCAGAGTGCCTCACCCTTTCGCCACCATGAATCACCCATCGAGAGGGACTCAGCCCTGACCTGGCCCCTTGGGACTCATTAACTTACACCATGTAGCTCATCCCAGCAAAGTCCAGGGGGCTGCTCATCTGCCTGGCAGTAGCAACAGCCAGTGGGCTGGTGATGTCCAGTCCCCACGTCCCTAGGCAGCTGTCGACCTAAGGATTGCCCCAAAGCATGGTGCCCTGACCCCACTTTCTACAACCCTCCTGCCCCAATTAGAAGATAAAACCCCTCCAGGCAGGACCCGCGGTTTCCTATGTGCTGGCAGGTGCAACAGAGCAGCCCCGCCGTACCCCCCGGCTGAGCCGCACCAGCACCCCAGCCGGAGCGATCCCCAGCAGCCGGCTCTGTTGCCGGAAGGTAGCTTTGCTGGGGAGACGAGCTCGGCTGGCCCACACCGGTGGGCCCCCGACTCACCATGTCGATGATCTGGGAGAGCGTGATCTGCAGGGTGACATTCAAAGCCCGGTCCGTGTCCTCCACGGGCCGCAGGGCGCTGGAGTAGTTGGCGAACAGGTCGTTGAGCAGCTTGTAGGCCAATCTCCCCTGGGCCCCCAGGCAGCCTGAGTCGGGAGGGAAAGGGGAGAGAGGAGCAGGAGGGAGAAGGCACAGCCCCCAGCTGCAACCAGCTAACCCCGGCACCAACAGACTCCACAGGCAGCAGCTAAGGAAGACCCCGAGACTCGCAAGAGGGTCTTGCCCCTCCGCTCCATGCCACATTTAGGGTCAGGAAGGTTTTCCCCCCACCCCAGGCAGATTGGTATGGACTGAGGGGGTTTGCCTTCCTCTGTATGGGGGCATGGTCTCTGCTTGGGATCTCGAGTGTCTGTTAACAACCTTTTATAGGAGCAGGACGTTGGCGGCCGCAGTCCCTCTGCTTTCCCTGGGGCAGGTTCAAGTGCGACATCTGAGGCTGCATCAGAGTTGGGGATAGTCTTGTGTAGCATTTAGATAATGGTTTGTCTGGGCTGGTTTGGACAGGGCTGATCCAGACTCAGGTAGGGGTCGGACTAGATGTGACCTCTGGAGCAGACGCTGACAGCTCATGGTCAAGGGTGACCAGGCCAGGCTGCACAGCATGCAGGTGGCCGGAGAGGTTTAGGAACCTGGTGGCCACTTGGAGGGAGATGCCTTGGGCAGGGGCTGGGGTTGGCACCACAAGAAGGGTCACGAAGCATTTCAAGGCTGCTGCAATGTCTCCCTGCACATCCCAACTGAAGCCGAGGAAGTGCCCCGGGCAGGAGGCTCCTTTCTCTCTGCTCCCGAGGATTGTGCCAAGGGGAAGGGCAGGTTTGAAGCCGAAATGTTCAGCAGAGGCTCAGGAGAGCTGGGCCCGGCTCCGTCACCAACTGCAGACGTAGCCTCGGGCTCATGGCTCCCCACTGCCTCCCCCCACAAGTGCATACCAATCTGACCAGGGGGAAATCCCTTCTGAATCCCAAATGCAGCATCAGTCTGACCCTGAGTGGAGGGACAAGACCCTCTAGCCAGGACCCTCTGGGGCCATACTGAGGCTACAGCAACTGCAGTCATTTCCAGGAGGCTGGTAGCACTGAGCAGGGATGACGGGAAAGCCTCTCCCCTGGACCTAGCTGATCTGTGCTGCAGATCCCTGCCCTGCTGCCTGTCCCATGGTTTCTGCAGGCCAGCGTGGGACCCAGACCCTCCATGCATGGAGTCAGATGCCAGCAGGAGCATCAGCAAGGTGGGGCTGGAAAGGAGGGAGCTCCCCCCCTGCACAGGCCATGGAGACAGGACCCCCATCCTGACTTCTGACTCCCACGGGGGCCACTTGGGTGCTTGAGCTTTGGGTCCCAGAGCCAGGCAGGAGGTGCCAGGCCAGCTCAGCTCTGAAATGCAGGAGCTAGTTTGAGCTCTGCCCAACCCAACACCGCGCCCCCCTGCCCGTGGGGGCCGCAGGACGGATGGAAGGAGGCGGCTGGGAGAGCAGCGCCCCATCCTGCGCGTGAAAGTTTAATGCCAGGTGTTGTGTTTCAGGGGTGGGCATGAGACAGGCTCGTTTACAGCGTGGGGCCAAGCCGGCCATGTTTCCAGGGGACCCCCGGATCCCTGCACACTGGATTGAGTTGCAGGCTGCCCGGTGCGCAGCTCCACCGGCTGGGGGTCAGATGTAACCCCGCAACGGGGCAGGGGCGGCATGCCCTGAGGAGCTCGGTAAGTGCTGGCTGCTCAGGTCCCGGGAGCTTCCTGCAGCCAGCTGGACCCTGCTCAACGAGGGGTGTGGAGGCATTGATGGTGTCTTACCTGGTAGCAGGGGAAGTCCTGAGAAGCACAGGGAGAGCAGGAGGGAGCCGAGGCCTGCCCTGGGCTTCATGCTCATGCCCCCACAACAGACGCCCGGCCGGCGTGGGGGGAATTTTGCAGCCTGGCAGGGAGCCCCAATGCAGGTCAGGGGTGCATCTGTGCTGCCGGCAGCCTTGACGATGCTGGAGGGAGGGCACGGCCGGCCCGGTGGTGCTTAAGAGCAGGAAGGCAGAGGCAGGGCATGGGTCGGCTCCTCTAGGCGCAGAATCACCCGGGGATTTCCTTCTCCGTGGAGCAGAGTCTTCCTCTACAGAAGAGAGCTCCGAGCAGGTCTCTGTCGCCTCCGGGCAGGGGGAAGCCTGCAGCTGCCTGGAGAGAGCAGGGCAGAGGCACGCGGGTGAAAACTGAGCCTGGAAGAACAGGGGAAAGGGAGGGAAGGAAGGAAGGAAGGGAGGGTCCCCTAGGGGACAGAGACATCACGGAGGAGCTGTGACAGTGCCAGGAGAGCGAGTGTGAGGCTGCAACTGGGGCAGAGGAAAGCACTACTCCCCCCACCCCCCCAGCGACACGCCCCCACCTGGCACCTCTGGCCATGGGTGACACCACGCCATGCCACACAGTCAGACGATACCAGGACCTACAGAAAACAACCCCCTCCCCCAAGGCTGGCTCTCACTCATGCTTGGGATGTGCCCCAGTGCAAGGGGAAACCCAGAGCTGCAGAGAAGGCACTAAATGGGGCTTTGACTCTGCCAAAGACTCCCTGCATGGCCTTGGTCATGTCCCCCAGCCCCTCCCACGCAGCGCAGCAGGGGCTCCGTGGGACAGCAGAGCTGGCAGGGCCCTCAGGACATCCCAATGAGTCCAGCCCCCATCTCGGGGCAGACTCAAGCCAGCCTACCTAGAGATTTCCAAGGATGGACCCCCAGTCCATCACTGGGGAGCCTGATTTAGGGCCAACCCCCCCCGCAGCAAGAAAGTCTCTCTTCTCAGGGGTACAGCCGCTCTCCCCCTGCTGACCCAGGATGTGGGGCTCAGATCTTGCCAGACAGCACATGGCACTGGTGGCAATGGCACAATGAAAAAGGAAGGAGGAAGAAAGAAAGAGGTGGTATTACTCCCTCTCGCTGCCATCCCAGTTCAGATGATCCCCAGGAGCTGCCCGGAGTCTCAGCTTTGCAACCCTCCTTTGTGAAATAAAGTGCTGGCTCTCCCAAGGGACACAGCCTCAGGAAGCCCCCTTCTCCTGGGCCCGCTGTGGATGGACCCGAGCCAGGAGACCCCCGTATCTCCCAGGCTCTGGGGCCTGCCCAGCAAGAGACGGCCCCTGCCACAAGCGGCGTCCGATGCAACTGGAGAGGCAGAAAAACACCAGGCCTGAGACATGAAGCCAGGATCCGAATGCCCCTCAGGAGCAAGACCACCCTCTTTCCAGTGAGGCACGGCGAAGCCTCAGTGCCAAGATGCTGGTCCATGGTCCAGCTGCCCCTAACCTAGTGAGTATAAGCAAAAGGTTTGGGGACCTGGAGGACAAGGGGGAAACAGAGCGCACTCCCTTGCCTTTGCTGCCCCAGGTCGGGGAACCCGGAGTGGGAAGAAACCAAGGGAAGCATCATTTAAAAGCCACTGTCCCCATGGCCCTGGTTGCAGCAGCACAGCCCCAGGCAGCGCCCAGCCAGGATGCAGGGACTCTAGGAGGTGGCCAGGGACCGGCTGGCCCCGAAGGACAGCTCCTCCAGAGACGAGCCACAACTGCTTCCCCAGCCCCAACACCCCCAGCAGCTCCCCCAGCCCATTCATATGCTAATCCCCGGCTAGATGCAGTTTTGCTTACAGGTTGGTGAATTATTCATCCCCGAAGCCTGAAGTCCGGGCGGCGACGTTGCACAACTCCTCCAGAGCAGCAGGTGGATTTGCATGAAGCTAATTAAAGTAATGGGGAGAGAGAGGGTAAGTCACTGCCTGATCTAACTTCACCAGCCTTAGAGTTGGTACAGGTGACACATTTAACCACGGGTTATATAAACACAACCCTCCCCTGCAGGAAAAGAGCCGGAGGCAGGCGCTGCGGCATGGCTTCTCCTTGCCACGGAGAGGCTGAGAAGGACCCTCCCCTCTAAGCAAGCGTTGTCACGGGCAGATGCCACGCAAAAGACAAGCAAGACCCGTTTAGCCGGAGAGATGCTCTTGTGGGAGAAAAGGGGCCAGTTCCCATGGCCTGGCTAAGCTGTGCACGCTGCTGGGTCTGGCCATTACATCAATGACCTTGGGATCACACAGCCTGTGACCCTTCGGAGGAGCCAGACGGTAGGAGGCACGAGGTGAGGGATAAAGAGACCGTAACATTTCCAGGGCACCTCTGCATACCTGTTTTTAAATAACCTGAGTTGTTTCCAGGTACACAGGGCTAACCTAGGGGCTCTAGCTAGCAAGCACGGGGTAATCAATAGTCGGGTAATGACCACAGGGCCCTGCTGCTCATTCACATGAAAGCTGGCTAGAAACTAGCTATAAAACAGCTACATATTTTCAAGCACTAACTTTGTCACAGGTTGGCTCTCTTGATAGCTGGAGGGACATTTTGATAGCTGCATAGCCACTTTTATGGCATGATCATTGCTTGGCCCGCGTCTTCGGTCTACATTTAAATCAAGCCATTCAACAGTCAGTGGTGTAACAGAGTAATGTGTGGCAGGGGCCTGAGAATCATAGGGTCCGGCACCAGTGTACAAGCTGCCTCACCGACAATTACAGAACAACTCACAGGCAGGGGAAACTCTTCACCTGTGCTAGGCAGTTCGTAATGTTGTGTCACAAGCGTGACATGCTCCCTTTAACACGAAACATGACAGAATGTAATGCCAGATATGTGACCACCACCTGGATCCTGCTACCCCTCTGCATCTGCATCTTGGGTCAGCGAGTTCCCTAGTACATCCTTTATGTTTTGGGAAGCAGTGCTTTCCCCCTGGGTTATTATTAAACAGGTATTTAGAGGCACCTGCTTCCCATTTGCTACTTCCTACATCATCACACCACCTTTCTACCAGCCTCCCCTATAAAACACCTTCATAGAGTCATAGAAACGAGGGTTGAAGGGAGCTTGGGGTCACATCTAGTCCAACCCCCTGCTCCAAGCAGGACTAGCACCAACTACATCATCCCAGCCAAGGCTTTGGACACAAGTCCAGCTAATCAAGAACATCAGAAAAATTAAAGCGTGTGTTGCTACTGGAGGGGTGCGTGTGAACTTCACTGGCGAAGACAGTTTTGATCGCTGGCTTCAACATGGAAGATCCCACGGTTGGCACCGCCGCCCGGAGTTCACTCCGAGGTTGTCCAGGTAAGCAATGTTTCCCCGCTCGCTCTGTACAAAGGCAAAGAGAGGGCAAGAGCATTGAATTCCCCGTCACATTATCCAGGGTATTAATTAAAAAGAAGCCACTGACCCCCAGCCCCAATCAGCAAGGAGGGGGTCTCCATTTACAGAACACCTGCTACTGAACTGGGGCCTGTTCCAGCTACAGGCGCTGGCTGCCTCCCTCCCTCCGCTCATGTTTTTTTCAGAGATCTGCAGGGGAGGTGGCAGTACCAGTGCTCCCACGCAGCTGAAAGGGAGCGGGGTGTGGGTGGTGCATTCCTTACGGCAGTACTGGTGATGGAGACAGCTCAGTATCCAACTTGTCCCATGACCCTCCCTGTGCCACAGCCACAGTAAGACGCCTTTGGCAGTGACTGCACCCTGCAACCTCCCTCCCCTAGGCAGAAGCAGGCGGCGCAGCCAAACACCCCCACGTAGGACTTACCTTGGAGCAGAGATGCTACTTGAACCAAGTTGTCTCTTCTGACCAGAGCTCACTAGAAAGGTGGGTGAGGAGCGCCATGAGCAGCAGGTGTTGCTGAGCTGCACAGGGCAGCTCCTGCTTCTCTGTGGGGTTTCAGTCTCTCGGGCACAGGTCACAGCACAGGTGACACCCAGGCCAGCTTCTGAAGCATTTCTCAGCCACCACAAGAGCCAGGGACTACCGAACGGAAAAGGCAAGGGTGCAATTCCAGGAGCTGCTCATCTCCCTGTGCTGGTTACATGGAGAGGGTGGACGCTTCCCCATCACTGGAGGAAGCAAGCAGTGCTGTCTTCGTTCTCCCAGGAGGAGCAGGGATCCTTGGGATTTGGGCAGGTTTCCCTCAGCACCCCTCCACATTGGCCGCCTGGATTCATGGAAGAAGGATGTGGTTCTGGCTAATCTTAGGCCAGATTGTGGGAGCCCATCCCCAAAGCAGGACAGCCAACGACGTGCCTGGCTCTGGGGATCTAATAAGTGCTGATTGTGGCTGCGTCAGTGTTTGTCACCTCTGTGCTTGGGGTTGTCACAGGCAGATACACCAGTGCTCTCTGCTGTGGGGCAGCCCCACATTCCCTGCCCGCTGGTTAAACAAACCTCCCCCAAATCGCAGACTCCTCCTGGGCTTTGCAGGAGACTGTAGACAAGTCAGAACTCGGAGCCCCACACACCTAAGGAGTACGAGACAGCTGCATGTCTAACTGTGGGCACCCCTTTGAGATCTCTGGCTGCCGAGAGGATCCATGGTTAAGAAGCAAAGAAAACCTTAGCAATACTATAAACTTTTTATTTATTTATTTTTAAGAAAGTATTTTCAGAAAGACAGGAAAATAATCTAGATCATTTATTTATACTTTTAATAAAAACCTTTACATAATCCTCATGCATAAAGGACCCTCAAAGAGCCAATCCACAGCACAGGTCAGGCCCCGTCGGCTGCCGGATTTGTCAGCGATTGCCTGCGGGCAGGTGGCGCCGTGACTGCGACCCCAAAATCAGAGTAGGCCAATATGTTTCCAAAAATAGTCAGCTTCTAGACACAGTAAAAGTAAAGACTGTACAAACTATAGTAAATCGGATGCTACCAGCTGTTCACTTGCAGAATGTTCTTGTGCTCGATGACGATGTAATCCAGCTACACAGCAAACACAAACAAAACGGCATGTTCTAGGCTGAAAACACAGGCGTGAATGGACTGAGCAAGCAGGCGCCTCCCTTCAACGCAGCCCAGGGTTCTGGCACATGCCGGGGCCCTGAACCGGCAACAGGGTCCTGCCTTCCACGCAGCTGTGTTCAAAAAGACATGGGAGCCAGCTTACAATGCTGAAGCCTCTGGAATGCAGGCTGCTGGCTCTCACCAAGGACCTCCCCTCCTTTGGTAGGGTGGTTTCGGTACGGAGTTACAGGCCTGGATTCACGAAGCTGCTTTGTTTTACCGAAGGGTAGCAACACACTGCACACACAACTATGGAGAACCCATGGACATCTTTCCTCCAGAGGCCTGGACAGTGCAGGACAGACCTTAAGGCACATGCACTCCAGTGTCAACCCCCTCTGGCCTGAGGCAAAGGAACAGCTTGGCTTCTTGCCTTTCAGAAGGAGGGGGTTACACACTTGTGGGGTTCCAACCTCACTACTGGACACAG